GACATGCAAAAAACAGTTTAATAGTTTAGTAGTTAACTGAGTGCAAAAAGTGAGGTCTTTGTTGCGGTTAAGGTTGTTCAGTAAAAATGTGAATTATGGAAAAAACACAATTAGCATTTTACATTTCTACACACACACAGCTGTGAAAACCTCATCTGTGAAGGAACTGAAATAATTTTTAAAAAAGACCAAAAAAAATCATTTTGGGATCTTAGAAATGTAGCACCTTTTTTACTATAACGTGTGAGAGTTACATCACTGTACTATTGTATGAAAGGAAAATGAAGTATTGTGCCGAGCAGTGTGAGTTGTGTAAATGGGTCAGCTGAATTCAAAGGGAAAGTTACAAGTTTTGTCAGAAGTACCTTTTGCTTTTTGTGAGAGCAATTAGCCTATGAACCAAATCTGTAATACTGTATAGGCACAAAATGAATCATAACACTCCACAGAAGTTTGGTTAAGAAAAACAAAAGTAGACCTAAAGCCAATTTATGAACTTTTAAAGGGAATTTCAGTAAACTGTGTGAGTAAAGTAAAGAACAGAGGCTTTGCAGACTGCGAGACAATTTACAAGTCAGATATGAGGGAGGAGGCTCATTCGCAGTATCTCACTATAAAGCATGGCTGTTTTTCTGGAGACACGGAGATCTTGTTTGCATTTCTCTTCCAACTGTAACATCCTATACTTACTCTGACATGTATGACATGAAAACTAACCTCAAATTTAAAAACAACAACAGAAGGTCTGTTCCCCAAATTCCCTAAATGATTTCATCAATCAGTAGTAGTAGTAGTGTTAATAACAAAGAAATGCTATTCTGTTCTGCAGTTTAATTTTAGCTGACTTAACTAAGCTGCATATTGAAACAATACAGATATGGAAAAAGCTGAAAAATGTGCAACTTTTTTAAGAAGTATAAGTGACTGTAGTTTTCTATGTTTTCTATGTGTGTGTGTAAGTCAGTGTTTCCCCTTCCTTCCACTGTGCAAAAGTAAAGCCACCAAAATCAATATTTTGTCATGTGTGGAGAGGCGTTCAGCACATCACCAACTCCAGGAGACCATCCCCCCTGCTGAGGCAAATAGAGACCTGGCCAACAACCTCAACTCATTCTACTGCAGGTTTGAGAGGGACACATTCACACCCCTCACCCTCCCCAGCCCACCTCTCATCCACAACACAACCACACCAACAAGCCCTGTCACACCTCAGACTGCACCCCAAACTGCCCAGCCTCACAGTGCGTGAAGAGGAAGTGAATCAGGAAAGCATCAGGCCCAGACGGAGTGTCCCCCTCCTGTCGGAAAGTCTGTGCTGACCAGCTGGCTCCAGTCTTCACCAGGATCTTTAACAGGTCCCTGGAGCAATGTGAAGTCCTCTCTTCTTTTAAACATTCCACAATCATACCGGTTCCCAAGAAACCCTCCATCACAGGACTGAATGACTACACTCCAGTGGCTCTGACATCTGTGGTCATGAAGTCGTTCGAGAGACTGGTGTTGAGCCACCTGAGGTCCATAGTAGGCCCTCTGCTGGAACCCCTGCAGTTTGCCTATCGGGCAAACAGGTCAGCGGATGATGCAGTCATTCTGGGGCTGCACTACATCCTGCAACATCTTGATGGCCCTGGGAGTTACGCAAGGATCCTGTTTATGGACTTCAGTTTGGCTTTCAACACCATCATCCCTGAAATCCTCTCCACCAAACTCTCCTTTCTGTGTCTCCATCCATCTGCCAGTGGATCACCTGCTTCCTGACAGACAGGAGTCAGCAGGTGAAGATGGGAAACATCACCTCTTGACCCGCACTGTCAGCACTGGCGCCCCCCAGGGGTGTGTCCTGTCTCCACCTCTCTCCTCCCTCTACACCAACGACTGCACCTCCAAGCACCCAGCTGTTAAACTTGTGAAGTTTGCAGACGACACTACAGTCATCGCCCTGATCCAGGACGATGACGACTCTGCATATTGGCAGGAGGTTGAGCGGCTGGTGTTTTGATGCAGCCAGAACAACCTGGAGCTGAACAAGTTCAATACTGTGGAGATGAGAGTGGACTTCAGGAGACAGCCCTCGCCACTGCTCCCCCTCACCATCAGCAACAGCCCTGTGTCAGCTGTAGAGTCCTTCAAGCTCCTGGGGACTACAATCACCCAAGACCTGAAGTGAAAGAAGAACATCCGCTGCATCCTCAAAAAGGCTCAGCAGAGGATGTACTTCCTGTGACAGCTGAGGAGACACGGTCTGCCACAGGAGCTGTTGATTCAGTTCTACACCGCCGTCATTGAAGCTGTCCTGTGCAGCTCTGTCACTGTGTGGTTTGGAGCAGCCACACTGCAGGACAGAAACAGACTGCAGCGCACAGTCAGAACAGCCGAAAAGATCATTGGAGCCCCCCTACCCTCCGTCCAGGAACTGTACTCCAGTAAAACCAGGAAGAGGGCAGGGAACATCATCACAGATCCCACTCATCCTGGTCAAGAACTGTTCTCCCTCCTCCCTCCGGCAGGCGATACAGAGTCCTGCAGACTAAAACCACCAGACATAAAACCAGTTTTTACCCCACTGCCATAACTCTACCGAACAGCTGAGCCATTCTCAGCCAAAATTGTTATTTGCACTGCTATTTGCACAATGTACATATACCTTTTCTGCTCGGATGAGTTAATTCTTGTATATATTTGTCTTAATATCTTGTTTTATTTTTTATTATTTATTGTTATAATTATTTATTCTATTTTATTTTTATTCTTTTTTTCTATAGTTATTTTAGTTTGTTTTTTTAAATTTTATTTTCCTATTTCTATTATTCCTGCTAGGGCAACATAAACAGCTGAAACCAAATTCCTTGTTTGTTGTATACGTACTTGGCCATTAAGGTGACTCTGATTCTGATTCTGATGTGCTAATGTAATTCGGGCTGCATCTCAGATATAGCCCAAGGCACAATGCCACTGATTTCATGCAGATGGGTTACATATGTCACAGCTGGGTGCTGCCATTTTGTACAAGTGAAGTCGTTTGCAACCAGAGTCAACAGCGACTGGTTTAAATGTGCACACCACAGACTGTATATAAAATACAGACATAGCCTCCAAGTCTGAGAACTGAAGCCAAGACAGAAGTGACTTAAGCTTGCATTCTTTCTAACGGCCAGCAGGGGGCAAATCCTGGTTGCATAGAAGTCTATGAGAAAAGATCCTACTTCTCACTTAATTTGTTACCCCAGTAAACATTTTCCTAAAGAGTTTGTGGTCTCAATTGCTAGTTTCAAGTCGCTTTCAATACAGCATGATGTCATTTTGTAATGATCGTCCCAGTTAGATTAAAAAAGGCAATAAAGGAAGCGGGGTTACTGTCTGATTGACAGCTGGCTACTATATAGGAATGCATTGTGTCCTCGAGGGGCTGCAGGGTGGCACAGTTGGTAGCACTGTTGCCCCGCAGCAAGAAGGTTGCCGGTTCGCGTCCTGGTGGGGAACCGGAATCTTTCTGCGTGGAGTTTGCATGTTCTCCCCGTGCAGCGTGGGTTCTCTCCGGCTTCTCCGGCTTCCTCCCACACAGTCCAAAAACATGTTTGTCCGTAGGTGTGAATGCTTGGTTGTCTGTCTCTAAGTGTGGCCCTGCGATAGACTGGTGACCTGTCCAGGGTGTCCCCTGCCTTCGCCCTAAGTCGGCTGGGATAGGCTCCAGGCCCCCGTGACCCTAGTGAGGATTAAGCGGTGTATAGATAATGGATGGATTGTGTCCTCGAGCTGTGAGTCAGTTCCACTTATCACATCCAGTTTCAAAGAGCCAAATTCAAAGCTTTCATATGCAGTCTATGATCGGTTTTCAGTGCTTGAACTTGTGACCCAGCTGCCTCAGTCTCCACTGTATTGGATTCTCATTGGCACTCACTATACTATATATATATATCCCTGAATGCTGTTGGTTACATATTTTTTCTCATAGATTGAGTGTGTTAATAGCCTGCTCGGTATTATGCCAGCGTTAACTTACCGCCAACACCCCAGAGACATCTCAGCACATCAGTTATTACAGACTAGTGCAGAAAAAAATCATTTCGTGACAACAATAAATCAAAAAGTTAAGGAAAGGAACAGGGTTTGATGAGTACAGTTCCCAAACAGAGAATTCTGTCAGTCACATTCCATGAATCATAACCACAGACACCCTTTTAGTCACATCATTAAAATAACCAGGAGCACAAACGTGAGAAAAACATACGTGACTTGAACAAACTTCAACATAATGAGAAGTTCTTCAAAAAACAAATACTTCAAATACTTGGGCTTCACTTCTGAGGAGATGCCGTGTTGTCTAAACTTACATACAGGCTATGATGTGTGTGACTGGAATTCTTTTTGTGCTGGCTTTTTCTTGGTGTGAAATTTAACTGAAATGATGTCATTTGGACATTTCTATGCCAGTAAGTTGTAAGATTTCAGTGTTGTATGTATGAATGGATCCACTGAAGTGCGTAATATCTGAATGATGTTCTACATTGTCCTCTTAAGCACTTTTTATTTCTCTCTCTTTCTAAAGATCGACTTGTAACATGGGAGTTTTTTAAATTCTGCTCTCTCGCTCTCTCTCTCTCAGCTCTTTTTTCCCAAGCAATCTTGGACTTACATTTTTGTGGTTCTTTGCCAGTCTGTGATTGACATCCAGATAATAAACTGTGCAGTTATATCATAGGTTGTTTCTTTAATAGAATAAGCAGCTCTCACATATGTACATTTGGGTTTCATGAGAAATAAATTGGGTGTTCTTTTAGAAACATTTGTGTGTTGAAAATCTCTGCAACAACACCTGGCACTTATACAAACATCTGTTTTCTGCTCAAGTGTCAAATTCAGGACAGCTTCTGTTCTCAGACATCAGACAGGAAAAAAAAGAGATATTTCATTCCACTGAAAGACTTTAAGCCAAAAGAAAACCTTTGTATATGTAACGGATCTATTTGTGTGTGGATAGGGCATCAGGGAAGACAACTCGGTTCACCGTTCTCCAGCATTTATTTCCTCGACTATGTGAAGCAACACTGTAGAAGAGATTAATGACACATTAATCTTCTTCTGTTCCCTTTTTACACGTGCACTCTGCTCCCTCAGCAATGCGGGGCAGCACTGTGTAACAATGAAAAACATTTTAAAACTACGTTTTTAACAATGCTCTTCTTAACAATCAGAGCAAATCTCATACAATGCCACCTGGTGGCCACATTAACACAGTGTAGTGGGGTGGAGTGACTAAACAGAGATAAAACGTATAACTTAAAATAAAAACACATACCTGTAGAAGAGATTAATGACACATTAATCTTCTTCTGTTCCCTTTTTACACGTGCACTCTGCTCCTAAACATGCAGACGAGAACAGCGTTTACACAAGCTGCTCTACGTCGGACAAAATCGCGCCAAAACGGCGGAAACAAAGACGTCCATAAAACTTATACTGACGGTCAAAACAACACAAAACAGCCTGATAACGTGATATTGTACTACGGTAAACAACATACACCAGAGGCTACGACATAAATATCTAAATTTATGAAGAAAATACACAATATCACGGCTGCGTTTTCTCACACAACTTACCCTCAGCAATGCGGGGCAGCACTGTGAGGGATCTACGAGAGAAGCTACGGAAGCCCAGGAGGCTCAAGCAAGGCAGAGTGCAGAAGGGCAATTCTGAAGGCAAAATCACTAAAACAATCGCAAATAAAAATGACTCATTAAGATAAAATTCACAAATACTTAGAATAACATCAACAAACATCAATTGAAAATAATAATTAATAAAGTGCATTTTTAACTCCATTACATATAGATCAGGTGTCATAAAAATAGCTGCAACACCCCCAGGCTGGAGGTGTCAGAATTAGGTCTTAAACTTTCTAAAATATCTCATCACCTGCAGCCTATTTTATTCTAGATTCAAGCTGCCAGTGAAACAACATTTATGTGGCAGTCCTAGGTTTCTGTGGTTGGGTTTGCAGGATCAGTATTGTAGTTTTTTTTTTGTTTGTTTGTTTGTTTTTTTTCTAATCTGCAATTTTTTAACAATAATGATTGATTCTGCTTCAGGAAAAATTCAAAGCAGAAGCTAAATTCAAACATGCTAAAATCCTGGAGGCACTGAATTCGGCATTGTTAGATCCGATTCTTTAGTTGGAAGCCCAAGAACAAGCCGGAGAAATCTTCAGTTCTCAGTTGTATAATTTATTTATTAATTAATTAATTAATTTATTTATATATTTCAGTCACAGGTACTGGGCTGGGCCTGCCCCGAACATAGATAAGATTTAATTGGCCAGTTACTAATGGCGTGGACAGGCATCCTTCTGTGCTCTGTCTACGTCCTTGACATTTGGTAAGCAACATGTGTGGATGTTGTTGGTACGGCGTGTAGCTAAAGTAACAATCGTATCTAATAGAAAAGAGGAGTTTCCACTATCTCCAAGTGTGCAAACCGGTTCTCACCAGCCATATTATCTTCAAGGACATATGCTGCTCTCAGGAGGAAAATACGAAACAGAATCATAGGCTCAGTGCAAAATACAGATTCAGAATACATAATAGCTCGAAACATACTTAATTATAACATTTCCCTCTTTTGACATGATTTTATCATGTCAATTAAATGAAGGTAGGAATGGTAGCTCAGTTGTATCACATCTTTCAGTGGGAACCAACTCCACAGGGCCCCAAACTGCAAGTGATCATCCACCACAAGGTGCAACACAACCAGGCAGGAGATTTTTTGACATCCCCCTTTTGATATAATTCTATTATATCAACACAAATAAAAAAAATAAAAAATCTCATGATCGTATAGTGGATATGTAAGCATGTCTTCATTGCATTGAGCATCCTATATGTATGCTGCTATGTGTAAGCTGCTCTTCATTGCTTTAACTTGCAGCAAGCAATTCTTCATTGCACATGCATGTGGAAATAATAAACAGAGCAATGTTCATCAAACAAAATAACCATAACGTTAAAAGCATAAGCTAAACATTTCATATCAGGAGTAAACATCATGGTACTGGGAACAGAACCTCTTTCCCAGGAGCATTCAACCTTCTATAACTCTACTGATAACATCTCCGCAATGAGCACGATAATAATAAAAAGCTATGAGTCTCATGCCACTACGTGTATGTGATGCTATATATGGATATGTGGTAACCTTAGCAGAATCAGTGTATGTACAGGGGTTCAGGGGTACCAATAACGGTCTTC